TTTCTTATGGGCCAGGCATCGTAACTAATACTGGATAAACTGTGATGGACAAAACAATGTGATTCTTGTTTCCATGCATCTTGGAGTCTCTGTCTCTTTCTCCCATCCAGCCAGATTGGTAAATTGACTCCTGAACTGTTCCTTTGGGAGAGACCTCACCAGTCATGTTTCTTCTCTCCATCACATTTAACAGAAGAAGCTGAAGGCCACTTCTTTATCATGTGTTCTTTTTACTATACATGGGGCCAGATCATGAAAAACAAACCTCAGGATCCTTACCTTTGGTGTGGTTTTGTTTAGACAAATATGAAGGAATACCTTAATATATGTTTTATGCTTGAAATTGGCACATACACTTTTCTCAAGCAATAAAATTAAACGGACAATGATTTCTAAGCATTTGCTTATGAGAAGTTTTATTTCAAAATCATGTTATGTTACTTTTTTTTGAAATCTAATTTCAGATTGGTATATTATTTTCATTTTCTTTCCAGGAAAGATAATAGGGACTGGGCAGCATTTTTGCAGCCTAACAGCTTTATATTTGAACAAAAAGGAAAGTAGTTTCTGGTGATATCTAGCAAATTACTCCATAATCCTGTGCAGAAGTGTTTTCAAATCAGGAGTTAGTTGTGGCTTCCAGAACTGATAATAAACACTGTAACATTTTACAACCAGGTAAGGCAGAGCTATAAACCTACCTATTTTCAGAGGAAGTATCGCTCCTTCTCTTCCCGCAATCCTCTGGAGAGATGCCCAGTCCAAACACAGAAGCAGAATAGTCTATGATGTCCACCCTCTGCTTCCAATTTCCTATCCACCCAACCACGTGACTTACAATTTCCCTGAGGCCACACTGAAACTATCTCTTGTCCTAATATCATGCCCTGAGCAGCATTATCCTCAGGAGTTTGCTAATGGTCCCCATCTTTTTGTTTACTCAAAACTTTTTTTTTTTTTTTTTTTGAGACGGACTCTTGCTCTGTCGCCCAGACTGGAGTGCAGTGGTGAGATGTCAGCTCACTGTGACCTCCACCTCGCCTCCCGGGTCCTGGTTCAAGCAATTCTCCTGCCGCAGCCTCTGGAGTAGCTGGGATTACAGGCACGTACCACTAGGCCAAGCTAATTTTTGTAGTTTTAGTAGAGATGGGGTTTCACCATGTTGGCCAGGCTTGTCTTGAACTCCTGGTCTCGTGATCTGCCTGCCCTGGCCTCCAAAAGTGCTGGGATTACAGGCATGAGCCACCACGCCTGGCCTGTTCAAAAGTTCTTGACTCAAGTGCAGACACAAGCTCACATGTTCACACAAACTCTTCCTGAACTTGTTCATTGCAGGTTGTATCATTCTGTCTCTAAATTCCTATAACACACATTCTGTGTATTTGACACACAATTGCCTGTTGTTCTGTGGTGTCTCTTCTAATTTTGTCTTGTGTCTGCTGTGTTGTTATTGTATACGTCAGTATATCATCTCCCATATACTATAAAGAAAAATCCTTGAATTCTTCAAATAAGTGCTTAGAATATAGTGTGGTATTATTGATTGTAATTTTGAATTACTCATCCCAGCAACATATTTCCAAGTCTTTTGATAAAATGTCCTCATTATTTGTGTTTTGAATATCAGAGTCAGAGACAAGCTCACACAGGCAATATTGGGACAAAATTCATGCATACCTTTTCACTATTCATTAGTATAAGTCCATAAAAGTTAATGCTAATTGAAAAGAGACAGTGGGCCAAATTATTCCTCATTTTTAGGATGAGGCATCTGAAGCTTAACATGTCACTTCTCCAAGTCATACAAGCAAAGAGGAAGCCAGGACTTAAACCCAAGTCAGATTTATTTCAAACTATTTGCCTCTCCTTGAAAATAGTTATTTAGGGAATAAATGTGTTGATTAGTAAAACATACAGCATAAAGTTTCCAGCGAACACTTCAATCCACTAAGCCATTTGCCTCAAAATTATTACATTGTATGACATGAAAAAACATCTGACATAGCATCTAAAATGCAAGATAATTTTTACAATATTGGTTTTACTTACTGAATAGTGACACAGAAAACTATTATTAACTCCATTTCGTAGATGAGGAAACCAAATAAGCAAACCTTCAAAGAAGGTGCCTACTTTGACTTCTAAGCCCGAGGTATTTCCATGATGCTACTCACTCTTTCTAAAAAATGTATGTAGTTCCTCTGTCTTAAATGTCTTTCTCCAATCGTGATCACCTAATTATTGCCTCTTGCTATTGTTTTAATTAGTCTATTCCAAAATTTGAGTACTTCCAATGTGATAATATTAAGAGGTGAAGCTTTTAGCCAGTGACTAAGCTATGAGATCTTTTCCCTCAGGAATGGGATCAGGTGCCCTTATAAAAAGTACTTGGCAAGATATTTTGACCCTCTCATCCTTCCACCTTCTCCCATGTGAGGAAACAAGGCTCTTTGCCTCTGGAGGATGAGGTTTCATCTTGGAAACAGAGAGACCAGATCCTCACTAGCCAAGTGCCTTGATCTTGAACTTCCCAGCCTCTGGAACTGTGAGACATAAATTTCTGTATTTTATAAATTATGCAGTCTGTTCTGTTACGGTGGCACAAGCTGGTTGTGACACTTCCTCATTCCAATAAAGACCAACCAGCTATCACTTTTATTATGTAGGTTTTCCTGAATATTTACTCTGCAAGGAACAGTTTCATTTATTTTTATATTTCCAGCACATAGTAATTTCTTAATGAACTCTTTAGCTTAAAACTTATTTTGAAATTTCAGTGCATTTATTAAAGTTCACATTCCTTTATTTTAATTGTTATGTATTTATTTTTGTGGAAAAATCTTTCTTAATCACAACTTCCAAATTTGGATTAAGGCTCTTATTTCCCTTTAAACATTACTAACATTTTTTTCAGGAATATTTTTCCTTAGGGGGGAAAAAAAACACCAGCAGAAATTGGCATCACACCAAGTGGGCTGATACAGCAGGAATGCACCTGGCAAACTCAAATCATTTTCTTTTATATGTGTAGGTTTTCCTCTGCGGAAGGCCATAATAGGTCACATAGTAGCTAGGGACCAAATACTTATTCTAACTAGATATTATTTCCTTAGTGTCTTATATCAACAATGTTGATTTTCTTGTAGATACAGAAGTCTTACATATCTTGCAGATACATACAATCTAAGTAAGCCTTCAATTTTATGTATCTCTCTGTATGAATTCTCCCATCTGTAGAATTAAAAAATAAATCTACACAAATGAGTCAATGGTTTGGTTAAATAGTCATAGGTAGTTGATTTTAAAATAGGAATACTCTTTTATAAATATGGAATTAAATTCAATAAGAGAACATAGAGACTTTAAAATACATTTATATGGCATAGTTTTAAAGTAAAAACCTTTAAGAACATTATTCATCATAACCACATAAAACAATCAAATATTTTTACCAGTTCTTGACTGAGATATAAGAGCAGTTTTTGTCCTCAAACTAATCAATGGCAAAGTAAAGTGTTTTGAGTGAATATAATGTCCTAGTAATTATGCTAAATATTATATATTTTACCCATTTCACTATCAAAATAATTTCATGTCATAGATGTGATATTCATATTATAATGAAGCAGACGCTAAAACTAACGACTTCCCCAAAGTCACATGTATTGTAACTAATATACCAAGTATGAACTCTCAAATCTATGCTCACCGTATGTTCTAAATTTAGTACAGATTATTGACACAATTAAGAGATTATTGGAATAATCTTGAGTGTTTTTATTATTATCATTCAGAGTTGATGAACACAAACACTGTAATTCTATAAGGTTTATTTTTTGGAAATATGACCTTTCAAATGGTTCCATGTAATGCAAATATAACACTCTCCCTCACATTTTTATTATTTATTTGATGGAGGAAGAACAAATGAAGTTAAGGATGTCTTGATTAAGAATACTAGTAAGAGTGCTGAAAGTAATATTGCGCAGGTTATAAAATAAGAAGCTAGGTGAAATCCAAGGCTCAATTTTACAAATAACTTAATCATAATATACGTTTTAACATTTCCAAGCAGAAGTGAGTATAAAATAGTGGCTTAAAATTATTAAGTTTTTCAAAGGTATAGGGTTTTTTTGTTGTTGACGTTTTTGTGTTTTCTTGGTATGTGTATGTGTGTTGATAACATTAAGAAGGATGTCACATTAGCACTGAAAATAGCAAGTTACTCTTTGCTATGGGGAAGACGAGAGGATTTGTATCTGGCCAGTGTGAAAGAATGTTGGCATATATTTTACTATCATACTACTGAAGAAAATGTATCAGCCAGTCAGATTTGAAATAAGCAAGCCAATCACTGGTTTATGTTCTTTAAAAATGTTAAATAATCCTTTAAATATTAAAGTTATTTATAGTTTCCATAAATAATACTTAAAAATTTCTCTGTTGGGAAAAAATACATTGATTTCTAGAAATTTTCTGTAAGAAAACATATACATTGATTTTAAACTGAATATGATTTAATATTTTTTGCTAAGTTCTATTTTAAAAAATCTTATTTTAGGCAATGTCCTTCGTTAAAATGTGACCTTTAAACAAATGACATGTAAAAATGACATGAAGGCCGGGCACGGTAGCTCATGCCTGTAATCCCAGCACTTTGGGCGGCCAAGGCGGGTGGATCACAAGGTCAGGAGATCGAGACTATCGTGGGTAACATGATGAAACCCCGTCTCTACTAAAAATACAAAAATTAGCCAGGCGTGGCGGTGCACACCTATAGTCCCAGCTGCTGGGGAGGCTGAGGCAGGAGAATGGTGTGAACCTGGGAGGCGGAGCTTGCAGTGAGCCGAAATCCCACCACTGCACTCCAGCCTGGGTGACAGAGTGAGACTCTGTCTCAAAAAAAAAAAAAAAGAAAAAAAGAAAAATGAAAGACATGAAATGTGAAATTTCAAAAATAAAAATAAATGTGATATAAATTAATACAAAACACCAAGAAATGATAATGCAAAAGATAATGTCATTTATTAAAAATTATCAATCCTAAACATGAAGTCTCTGCTGTTTATATTGTAATACTTAAAATTTCAAGCCATCCAATTACTTTGCCATCTTAGTTTTGAAAGACTATATGAATTTTGTATGTGTAAATGTTGAATATACATTTCGTAGGTTTAAAAGGACTATAAAAAGCAAGACCATAGGTAAGAACCTGAGCCTAATTTTTTAACTTGAGTGTCAGATCTATGACAGGAGATTTGCAATAATTAAATAACATCCTGAATCAAAAGGGCATACAGTTACTATGTCACAGAAGCAACTGTTTTGTATACAAAATTGAGCATCAGACTTCCCACTATTCTTTTTCAAATATGGTGAAGTCTTTATATTGGAGCTCAGAATTATAGGTGACAAAGTGGACAGAAAAGGGTCTGTGGAGTATGGTAGACATGGACTTGAAAGTCAAGACCACAATGTTCCAATCATGTGAAACTGAACAAATTCCACTATAACCTTGATTTGCTCATCTACATAATAGTGATAATAACACCACCCCGTGAAACCCACTGAGCACAATGGACAGCATATGAAAGCAGTTAATGAAGGCGGGCTATGTGTGCCACCGAGTGGCATTGTTCCATGTTGAGCCATCTTTCTGTAGGCGCACCTCCTATCTATGGCAGGTATCAAATGCATACCAAAGACTAACTTGGTCACCAGGCTTAATTCTTAGCATGAAACTCATTTTTTAAGCCTTGCTATAAAGATATTTTTTTTCTAGGAGAATTTTATAAGTACATAGTGAGCTTTGTGCTCATATTTGGCAGTACGCATGGACATAACTTCCAAAATCAGCTGTGGGTTGGCTGAGCTCAGCATCCTGCTATCCCATAGGAAGGCAGAGGAATGAAAGCCAGATTTATATGTTGGTTAAAAGTTATACATACATGCAACCAAACACATTCAACTGTATTCCTCTTTTAAAGCAAAATACGAGCAGGTTTAAAATCATTCAACTCTTGTATAAACATGGTATGCCAAATGAAATTGTATAGGATAGCTACATTTCCAAACTGATAAAAAGGCCATAATTTAAAAATAAAAGAACCATGGTACCCCATATAACATAGGCTAGAAAATGATAAAATCACAACAATAAAGTTAATTATTGAGACAATAATATAAATCATTAAACACACAGATAGTAAAACTCTCAATAATTGATTATAACTTTATCTAAATGCTCAGGTTATCTAAAATGAGGAAAATATTTGCATAGAAGGCAACATTACTTGACACTCATAATCTGCTAGTTAAGCTGAGACGCTAGCAATGCCATAGAACAGAGAATAACAGAGCCAGGTGACAATCAGAAAATGCAGTCTTTAAGTTTTTCTATTCCACTTTCAAACTTTGAAGGGTCAGTCGTATAGCTGAAGGTATCATCTAAAGTAAGAAAAAAAAATTGGTAATTAGGTAGACAGAAATATCATGCTTTTCTTTATGGACATCATAAATCAAGTTAATGTAATTTTACTATAGCTTTAGCATATATGTGCTTACAGAAAAAAAAACAAACAATCATTCCCAGGTAGAAAGTATTCTCAGATGGAATCTTGTGCAAATAACCCTAAGCATATTGCTAAATATACATTAATTCATAATAATATATTTTGTAGATTAATATGCCTAATTTTGGATTTTAGTTCTTTCTGTAATCATATGTCAGATCAAAACAAAATCTTCTTGCATATACAAACTGATTACTTGAACTTTCAAATGCATCATAAAGACAGGAGTAAAGTTATTAGTCGGAAGTGGGGCCTGGGGCCCTCCAGCAAATTTATGGTAGATTACAATGGAGCCACTTTGCTAGAAGAAATGCAAACACCATTACTAAGCTACACATTTGGCATCTCTATTTTAGATGTCAAATGACGTACCAGTTTGATTTCACCTAAGCCTTCCCTGACATTGTGCAGTCTTTTTGATATCCCTCTTACATGCTAATACTACAATCTGAAAGTCCAAGAAGAAAAGGAAATAGGGAATTTAGGAAGGATACAGATGTGGGACTCAAAGATCTTCAAGAAAGAAAAGAAAAAAGATTGGGATATAATTTGTGACAGCCAGTTTGTTTGTCTGTTTGTTTGTTTTGTTTCTCTGGGATAGAAACCAATAAAAAACAATGAAAAGAAAAAATAATATAATTTAATAATGCCAATATTTTGCCCATTTTTATCAATGGGTAAACAGTAAATGTTTTCACTTTCAATGGAAGAAAAATTCATTCAGATGTCACAAGGATTTAAAAATAACTTTAAGTAAATAGCATCTTTTGAAACACTTAGAGTGTTTAAGTCTTTCTGATAAGACTATATAGTTTAGGAAAGGAAAATAAAACTGAGAAAGGACTGAGTAGTAACTAATATGACTTATTCTGGAAGGTAAAGTAAGTGAGTTTATAAAAATTATAAATAATATATTGTGTTCTAATGGGATGTCCACAAACTATTCCTGTCCTTGTCTTGATACTGGAGATTTGGATTCTTTACTTTTTATAGTTCTGTCTCTTCCCCTCCCCTGCCTTCCTCCCTTTTCTGAAAAATAGTTTCTGCATGCTCAGTCATGACACAATATAATTTCCTGGCATATGGGAGCTTGTCTTCTAAAGAAATTAAACACATTGAGCAGACTCTCAACCATAATAATAATAATAAAAATCTATCAGAAGTCTAACTGCAATAATATACCTAAGAAAACAGACAAAGCATATATTTCGAGTTCTTTTCCAGCTTAGCATATATTTCTAGTTCTTTTCCAGCTTAGCATATAAGTATTGGGAATAGTTTCTTGCTTCATGATTCTAAATATAAGCACCAATTCCCCTTACAGAAGAAGAAACATATTAAGAAAAAAATTAAACCTCACTTAAAAAAAATTTAGTGGTGGACATCTTACTACTCCTGCAATGAATGTTTTACCTCCGTTGAATTATGTAAATGGTTTCAGGGATTTGAAAATAATTATTTCAGTAAAAGAATGTAGAGCTCCTGAACTGGCATAATTTCCCACAAGAAAAATTAAATCAGAATTATGTAAGTACAGCGCTGCAAATCCAGCTGGCCCTAAGGCAATGCCTGGGAAGAGGGAGCATGCAGCATGCCGTAAAATCTCCACTCAAGCTCTGCCTGTCCTCTGCAGTCGAACTTGTGTGATCATTTGGAGTAATACCACAAGGACTTGAAGCATCCATGGTGTTGAAAAGGCATACAAATAAAAAGCAGTAGAATATTGCGGCAAGAACTCAAGCAGAGTAAGAAAATGAGGGGGAAGAAATACACTATATTAAAAGCAAGAGAGATTGGAAAGTATCTAACAAATGTAAGCTTGGTCTTTGTTGAAGCAAAGTGATTTATAGAGGAAAATAAAAATCGTAGTGAGTAGTAGTGACACTAGGATGCTAGACTAAACGTGTAGTCTCTACTTACCAAATTATTCATATGTTTGGAAATTTCTCCTTTCAAAGCAAAGATCCACAGGGAGGGTTTTTTGAAACCATTTGGACTTCCTAGTCAAACTATGGTTCTCAGCCATGAGATTCTTTATATTATTACAATTAATACTAACCACCAAGTAGACTCAAGTCCCCTCATTTACTTTTTGTTTGTTTGTTTGTTTCTTTTTTGAGAAGGAGTCTCACACTGTCACCCAGGCTGGAGTGCAGTGGCACCATCTCGGCTCACTGCAACCTCCAACTCCTGCGCTCAAGTGATTCTCCTGCCTCAACCTCCTGAGTAGCTGGGACTACAAGTGGCACTACCATGTCTGGCTAATTTTTGTATTTTTAGGAGAGATGGGGTTTCACCATGTTGGCCCTCCCCATGTTGAACTCCTGAACTCAAGTGATCCACCCACCACGGCCTTCCAAAATGCTGGGATTAAAGGTGTGAGCCTCTGGGCCCGGCCTTCGACTCCCATCATTTTTTGTACTGTATCCGTACATTTCCTATTGAGAACTCAAAATTATGTAATTTTATTTATATGTTCATTTAATTTTTGCTTCACTACCCTCCCCAGTAGACACAATCACACCCAAATTTCAGTGGCCATTTCTGTCATGTCTACTGCATCTTCAGAAATTGCACCATATTTGAAACAGAAAATGGGACCCACATATTTGTTTATTTAATGAATGCTAAATGATAGACCTAGGTCTAACATAAAGCAGAGGAAATTATCTTTTCTTGAGAGAATATTGGTAATTGGTAATATGTGCCATGACTTGTTAGCATGTCCAACCTTCAGTTCCGTTTCCATTTTCTAAGAATTTCTCTTACGTTAATGAGAAATGAGAACAGACTTATAAAAATATGGTTGTTTATAATAAGTTTAAAATAATAAAATAAGTTTAAAATAATACTTATAATATTTTAAAATGTGAAAGGATAAAACTAAATGTTTAACAACAGGAAAGTAATTTTTAAAAATAGTATGTTAATATCTTAACATATTATGAATCTATTAAATGGTGTTTTAAAATATTTGTAAAATATTAAACATACATTTTTGATGAAAAATGCTCAACTTTGCATAGACATCAAAATTGTGACTCTATAATATACATCGGCATATATTTAGTATATAAATATATATTATTTAGCATACTTATGAGACCATGGGTGTGTGTGCCTGTTCACAACAAAGTTGTATAAGATACATTGTAGACAATATGAACTCTGGAGACAGACTACAAAAATGCCAATACTATTTCCGTCACTTAGCAAGTTACCAAAATCTCTTTTTCTTCAGATTCCTCCTTTGTGAAATGGCAAAAATATAAAGTTGATGATGAAATTAGATGAGTTAGTTTTTGCTTAGAAAAATGTATAGCAGAGTATTCCACAAGTCTTTATGATTATTTAAATACACACATAACATTATATGTACAAAAAACATGTATACACACATGCAATCACAAAAATATGCAAAATAGAGCAAAATATTATCAGTGAACAGTTTTTGTTTCTGAGATTGTGGATAACTTTTGTGTTTTACTTTATGTGGTCTAAAATTTTGTCTGGAATAAGTAAATATTGCTTTTATAGTTATAAATAAAAACTATTTTACAAGATATTAAAAAACAGGCGGACTGAGATAACATATACACATATATAATACATACATACATAATGCTTAGAATAGTGCTGAGCATATAGTATTCATTTTAAGAGTGTTTAAGTTAAAATAAATGACAATTGAGTAATTGGACATATTAATGCGTAACTTGAGAATACGAAGCCCAAGGAATTTGCAAGAAAAATGGTTAAAGACAAAAATTAGAATTGTAAGAGCAGACAATACTGGCCTAGCAATGTTTGGGTTTGTAATTCTTTCAAAGGCTTGAGTACATGCAGTCGCCTACATGGAAGGGACCAGCATAAAGAAAAGGTTGGAGAACGTATGAAGAGAGACAATAATTTTTATGACAAAGTTCAGATTCCAGATAAGCTGAATAAAATAAGATCAAGAACAAAATAGGATAATTTTTTTTTTTTTTTTTTCTTGAGGCGGAGTCTCACTCTGTCGCCCCGGCTGGAGGGCAGTGACGCAATCTCGGGTCACTGCAAGCTCCGCCTCCCGGGTTCACGCCATTCTTCTGCCTCAGCATCACGAGTAGCTGGGACTACAGGCGCCGCCACCACGCCCGGCTAAATTTTTGTATTTTTAGTAGAGACGGGGTTTCACCGTGGTCTCCATCTCCTGACCTCGTGATCCGCCCACCTCGGCCTCCCAAAGTGCTGGAATTACAGGCGTGAGCCACCGCGCCCAGCCATAAATTTGTTTTAAAGAAGAAAAACTTGCATGTAATTCTGGTATAAGGAAGGTAGGGCTGCATGCAGATAATAGAGATTTGATTTGTAAATGCAAAAAGCATACCAAGTCAAGAAATTCTCTATTGCTCTGCAGAATCAGACGTTTAAGGTGCATGAAGATGGCCACTCGGGAACGGTGGTCCAGCAGAGAAGGCTGGTGGCTCCACGTAACGACCTTGGTAATGGGTTAAATAGTGGCAAAGACCTCGTCTACCATTAGGTCTAAGTGCGGGTGTCAGTTGAAATAGATACACTTTGGAAGTGAGCATTAGCAGGTATATAGGAGAAGAAAAGAAAAAGGTAATATTGGAATTTTGCAGGGTGGATCGTTCAGAAACACTTGATCACCCATTTTCAGACTTTCCTAATATAACCATTCTGTAGCTCAGTGAATAACTGCTTTCACACTCCAAAATATCTCATCTCATGGTTAAATTAAAATACAATGAAGTTTGGTACTCTTTTAAATGATGAATGTAATCCTAATTTTTGATATTAAAAATAGGGTATAATATTTTTAATAACAAGCAAAACACATCATATGCAGTTTATATTTAATCACTATATAGG